TTTGTATATAATGAAAAAAAAGAATCATTCCATAAAAATGAACACACAAGATACACAAGGTGTATTGGAAACGCAAAAGAGAAACACACAGATGCACATAATGTGCAATGAAATTATAACGAAACACACACACAAGGGAAGAACAATAAAATGAAAACAAAACAAAAAGAAAAAAAAAGCCGTGATCACCATGTGAATATGTTCAGGAGGCAACCAACACAATTCCCTGCAGTAGGTGTGTGTGTCTTTCGCACAGGGCGAGCAGTGGGAATGATGCACACATGATGACAGTCCACACACACACAGAGAGAAGGAGGGTTGGTAGTGTGCGTGTTTGTGTGTCTTGAACCTCCTGCCATTCTTCACATTTCAGTCACAGCAATTAAAACACATTGGGATTGTATCTCATTCCCATGGGTAAAAGCAATAGTTATTAATATCACGGAACACAAACACACATCAGCAGGAGGGCACAGTAAATGGCGGCAAAGCAGAACCCAGATAATAATGCCAACAAAGAAAGAGGAGACTCCCCTCACAAAATGATGGTTTGTCACGTGATGAGTGCCATAGGGCATCCAATAGATGTGTCCAGTAAAAAAATGCAAACAAGAGATTTATCGTGAAAGAAGAAAAAAAAAGAAACATTGAAATTCAATGAAAAGAACATTGCCCTTACAATGCATCCATATCCACTCAAACAAAGACTAACTGTGCAACTGTGTCATGGGGACGCCGATTAGCAAACGAGAGTGCAACCCAACACACACAACAGAAGCAGCTGTAAGGGACTGTGCATCAATGCAGGACCGAGGCTGCTGTCATTCTTCTTGGCCGCTTCTGTTTTTTTCTTCGTCTCTTCCGCTGCCCGTTCCAGCTGTTCTTTTTCCTTTTTCTCCAGTGCTTCTCTAGCCTTTTCGTCTGCATCCTTCCTCTCCCGATCTTGTTTGGCCTTTTCTTCTTGGGCTCTTTTTTCATCAGCCTTTCTCCTTTCCGCCTCTTCTTCTTCAGCTTTTTTCTTCCTTTCCTGTTCTTCTTGAGCCAATCTCTCCTGCTCCTTAGCCAGTCTTTGTTCTTCTTCCAGTTTTTCTTGCCTTTCTCTTTCCAGTCTCGCTGCCTCATCTCGTTTCGCCTGTTCTTCTTGAACCATCCTTTCTTCCTCAGCCTTTATCTCCGCTGTTATGAGCGGTTCCATCCTCTTTCTTTCTGCTTCCATCTTCGCAACAACGTTCTTTTTCTTCGGTAGCTTTCTATTCTTAATCCAATCCCCAGTTACCTTCTCAACGTTCGTACATGATTCCACGACTTTACTGACCGATTCCACAATCCCGCCAATCTTCGCTTCATCATCTTTCAGCTTCTTTTTAATCCCTTCGAGCTGCAGTTTCACCCCCTCCATCGTTTTCTTGGTTTCTTCTATTCGTTCCCTACCGTCTATCACGGATCGAGTACTCAAACCATCCAACTTACCGTATTTCACCGTGATCGTCTCTAATTCATGGTACGTTTTGTTGCTGATTCTCGCAAGTTTTATTTTTTCCCGAGTCCAGTAAGTTTTATTCGGTTCAGCAAGTTTACTTAAATAATAGAGTCTACTTTGGTTGAATCTGTTTACTGCATCCACCCAGGTATCACGTGAGAGAGAACCCATCTGCTTTGCCCACAATGTATCTTCAACATACGAACTAGTATTATCAACTGCTTTTTTAACCTTCTGCACCAATTCTTCGATTTTATCTTTTTCACCATCCTCAAGTTTGTGAGTTGCGTCACCCTTCCCGGCAGTCTTACTTTCAACTTCCTCCACAAGTTTTTTGAACTCTAACGCAGTGGATTTTGCAAGTTTGGAACTTTCGTTTGATGAGTTCACAATCCCCTCCCATACTGATGAATAACCTTTCCCCGCCGCAAGATATTCACTCACCTTCTTCATCCATGCTTCTGCCGTATTTTCCGCCGCCACAACCTCATCATGCTCTGTCCGTTCAACAACCGTCCCATCACCGTCCGCACCCCCATCACCTCCGTTTGCACCCTCCGTAGGAACCGCATATGCCACATAAACGCAACAGTGCAGAAGTACCAACAGGTACACCACACCACGCAGTTGGACGAACATCGTTGTCATGATTGTCACTGTGGGTTGCTTGGGTCTGTGGTAACAAGGAAGAAGAGGAAAAGGAGAAAAGGGACGCACATTTAACACACAAGGCAGTGGGTACACAGCAAAACAGAAAGAAAGAGAGAGAGAGAGAGAGAGAGTACACATCACAACAGCAATCAAACAACAACCCAATGAGGGGAACAACAATAAACCACTTACACAATAAAACCCACCCAGAGTTACACAGATATTGAAACAACACCTTGAATTTAGAAGAAGTGGAAAACAAATGGTATCAAAACAATATGAAATAAACGTCTCTACACAGACTCCAATATCTTACTCGGTATTCATACACACAAAGTGTGTCTGTATTCTCATTAGAATAAAACCATTACCAGACAGTTTGAACAACAAGAAACGCCGGCGCGCCCCAGGACCTTCTTGGATAAGGTTTTGTCCCAGCACGACTCTGCTGGCCACGGTGCTGCATGACGGTTGTTGCTTATGAAACAGTAAACTCTCAAGAAGAGAATTTGCCGGCCCATGGCTTCCCTCAAAATAATAAGGGATAATGGACATTGGCTCCAACTTTCGGTGGCGAAACTTCGCCAAGGGATTGCCATTCCCAAGAACGCATGTATTGAAGAGAAAAATAAAAAGAATTTGATTTTTAAGGAGACCACCCACTTCAAACATTTAGTGAGTGCATTTAGTTTCCTTGAATAAATTCATCTACTCCACCTTGGCACCACGTTGGGGAGGCCCTCATTACCAAGGATCTGTTTCTGTACAATTCCTACCCCTCGTAAACACCATGGACGTTATAAATGAAATGAAAAAAAAAATACATAACGTCACTCTTATTGGTCACAGAATCATTCAAAAGTCTAGCATTATGGTTTTGATTCCTGCGTTTATATAAATATCGAACTCAATGATTCCGCCGCTGTGGCAATGTCTTTCTTTTGTGCAAAAGACGCGTGAACCACAGTGGAAGAACACCATCACCAGCACCCACCACGCTTTATATACTCAAAGGGGTTCTTTGCTGGTAAATGGTTTTTTTTTAATCCCCACGATTCTTGCTTCGCAATAAGATAACATGGCGTTTTCTATCGCCACTATTTCTTCAATTCGAGGTTTTTGGTCTGGGGAAGCAGAGGTAACATCAACAACAACAAAAACAACAACCGAGGTAATGGCGAACCCCGCACGCATCCAGAAACACCACTCCAAAGAACACCGTGGAGGATTCTGTTGGTAAATATGGGCATGATCGTTTATTACTCAATCTTCCTACGCCAAAAAATGACACACAAAAGCGCTTTTGTTTGCAACAGCGTTGCTTAGGGCAGTAGCCGACGTCCGTGTGGCAATCTTCTTCTTTTCTTCTTTCTTTACAGATTACAATATTTCAACAGATCGCCACTTAAAGATAAAAAGACCTTGGTGATCGTGTGCCAACTTATCTTGGCGTCATGGTCAAACACTTGAATATATTAAGGGAAAGTAAAGGTACTCCATACATTGTTAGGAATCTCCTAATAAACCAAATACTTGTGGGAGGAAATGTTCTGTTTAGATTTCACCCCTTTTCTGCATTTCCCATGAATTTCCTTTTCACATCACCATGGCAGAATTTGCCTTTATCATAGGGAAGGAAGGACTCACCCTCATGTTCTTTGTTCATGGCGCCACGTGCCACCAACTAAAAGGTGAAGTTGGATGACCACACCACGTCACGAGGGGAACGGGGAAGGGTCATCTTTGCGGAATACCTTTCAAACCCATCTTACTCAGCGTTGAAGTAGGGAAAGCAAGAGTTTTCCACTATTCCCAACCCCACTCATTTTATAAGTGAAAAATACCCCCGGGAGCCTCACCACCCCTCTTCTTCTTGTTGCGCACAAGACGCTGACAAGTTGGCCGCCCGCCTTGGGTTGTAGGGGTTGTGTGTTCTCTCCTCTCCCTTCTTGGGGTGAGGGATAAGAAAAAAAAAAAGGATGAAACCCAACAACCAGTCTACGTGCGCAACGCTCGAGGCTCGTTGTCGGGTTTTGCCCTTTTCTTTTTTCTCATCCTCACTCTTCTTTTTCTCTCAAGTTCAAAGTCCCTGAGCATGTGATATTTCAGGCCTCAAGGTTCAGCGCCTCGGGACGCAAAGTGCCCCTCGAGCCCCGCCGAAGCGAAGCATGCCGCTTACACACAAACCCCACAGACGCCGCAGTGGAGTGGTCCAGCAACACAGCAGTGTCCTTCCCACTCACAGTGCACACACACATAATGACAGTCTCACATGCTCATATCAGAGAGGCACTGCCGCATTCCCTAAAATGTACACGGACTCACACCCCCACAGAGAGGTAAAGAAAAACACAAAAAAAGAACAACAACAGGATACCAACAGCACACAAAGCACTCACAATACAATAATCACAGCTGCCACTCCCATCAGAGAAAAACATTCACCCACACCAGCATATCAACTCAACACACCCAAAAAAGAGAAAAACACAGACCCATTACGTGAAGCCGAAGCGGAACAGTCTCAGTCCACCTCCCCGCAGGTTGCAGTCACTCAAACAAGCCACACAACAAACAACAAACACCACAAGAGCACAAATATGTTCGTGACAATGCCGTGAGTGACACCACCGAGAGAGAAGGTGAGAACAAAGAAATGTGTTTTCCTTACGTGGGTGGTGTGAGTAGCAACCCAAACACACAAAGGAGCACACAACAGAGGGGCACACTCAAACACCCACAACCCACCAATCTCTATACCAAAATAAAAATGTAAAAAAAAAGAGTGACTGCGTGAGGCAAACACAATAATAGAGCAAAAGAAAGAAAAAAAGAAATTCATTACTTACTGTGGCTGCGATGCCTGGACACAGTTCAATCCACCCCAAGGTTAACAACGGAAAATCATTGTGTACTGAACGTGCCGTGCCCATATCTTTATTCTTGATGTCCGTGCAGCAGTTTGTATATAATGAAAAAAAAGAATTACTCCACACAAATGAACACACAACATACACAAGGTGTATTGGAAACGCAAAAGAGAAACACACAGCTGCATATAAAACGTGCAATGAAATTATAATGAAACACAAGAGAAAAACAATAAAAGGAAAAGAAAACAAAACAAAAAGAAAGCCGTGATCACCATGTGAATATGTTCAGGAGGCAATAACACTATTCCCAGCAGTAGGTGTGTGTCTTTCGTACAGGGCGAGCAGTGGGAATGATGCACACATGATGACAGTCCACACACACACACACACAAAGAGAAGGAGGGTTGGTAGTGTGCGTGTTTGTGTGTCTTGAACCTCCTGCCATTCTTCACATTTCAGTCACAGCAATTACAACACATCGGGATTGTATCCCATTCCCATGGGTAAAAGCAATAGTTATTAATATCACGGAACACACACACACATCACTAGGAGGACACAGCAAATGGCGGCACAGCAGAGCCCAGATAATAATGCGAACAAACAAAGAGGACACTCCCCTCACAAAATGATGGTTTGTCATGTGATGAGTGTCATAGGGAGTCCATTATGGATTTGTTCAGTAAAAAAATGCAAACAAGAGATTTATCGTGCTGGAAAAGAGAGAAAAAAAGGAATCATTAAAATTCAACCAAAAACAAGAGTGCCCTTACAATGCATCCATATCCACTCAAACAAAGGTCAACTGTGTAACCGTGTCATGGGAACAACGTTTAGCACACGAAATTGCAACCCAACGCACCAATCAGAAAAAGAAGCAGCATCAATGGACTGCGCACCAATACAGGGCTGCTGTCATTTTTCTTAATCTTTTCTGCCTTCTTCATCGCCTCTTCCTTTGCCTGTCTTACCTTTTCCTCATCCGCTGCCCGTTTCTGCTGTTCTTCTTTTTCCTTTTTCTCCTGCGCCACTCTATCCCTTTGGGCTTGTTCTTTTGCCCTTTTCTCCTCGGCTTCTCTTTCCCTTTGGGCTTGTTCTTTTGCCCTTTTCTCCTCGGCTTCTCTTTCCCTTTGGGCTTGTTCTTTTGCCCTTTTCTCCTCGGCTTCTCTTTCCCTTTGGGCTTGTTCTTGTACCCTTTTCTCCTCGGCTTCTCTTTCCCTTTGGGCTTGTTCTTGCACCCTTCTCTCCTCGGCTTCTCTTTCTCTTTGGGCCAGTTCTTCTTCAACCATTTTTTTGACTTCCTCCTTTACAGTCTCAGCCCCTTCCCGCGCCGCTCCATCCCTTGCCTTCTTCAATTTTTCTTCAACGGCTTGTTTAGTATCCCCCAGATTTCTTCTGAGTGGCGTCCTTCGCGCCAATTTTTCCACCTCGTCAAATTTCCCCTTAACCTTGTCTTTGAATTCAGCGATTTTTCTTTTTATCGCAGTGTACTCCTCTGCCGTCTCCTCTTTGTGGTCCTCTATCCTCTTTAGTTCTGTATATGCGGCATCTATCTTCTGTTTCGCCGCCTTTACCTCTTCAAGGGTCTTCCCCAACATGTAGTTGCTCTCCCAATTGTATGCAGTGAGATTCCCCTCGAGAAAACCCATCTCCTCGTATATTTTACTGCTGTTCTTGACGAGTGTTAATCTTTCCATCGTCTCATTCAGTGTTTTGCCGAGTGCATCCGCAAAATGATCTTTGATTGATGCAAATCGCTGTTTCTCTCCTTCCCAGTTTTCCTTTGTGGTCAAACAATTCCTTGCTACCCACCACGTCACTTTTTCTGACACGACCGTCCCGTAAGCTGCGTCCACGGTAGCTTGTACTGCCGTAAAAATCCGCTCCACCACACCATCAACTTTTTTTGCTTCTACTGGACTGACAACAAACACCTTAATACCTTCTAACTCTTTAACAGGCCCCTCGATCCCTTTGACAACGGTAGGTAGCCCCTTGGTACTTTTGTTGCATTCCACCGCGACTTCCTTCCAGACGGTCAAACAACCGCGCCCTTGCACAAACATAACATACGCTGAATCCACCAACATCTCCAGCCCCTCTTGCCATTTTTCCTCACCTACCTTTTTAGGTTCATCATGTACATCTCCCATGTCACCACTTGCCTCTACAGGGGCCAAACATGTACAGCATTGCAGAAGTACCAACAGGTACACTACACGGCGCAGTTGGACGAACATTGTTGTCATGATTGTCACTGTGGGTTGCTTGGATTTGTGGTAACAAGGAAGAAGAAGAAAAGAATAAAATAATCGCACAATTAACACACAAGGTAGAGAGTACACAGCAAAACAGAAAGAGAGAGTACACATCACAACAGCAATCAAACACAACCCAATGAGGGGAACAACAGTAAACCACTCACACAATAAAACACACCCAGAGTTACACAGATATTGAAACAACACCTTGAAGTTAGAAGAAGTGGAAAACAAATGGTATCAAAAACAATATTAAATAAACGTCTCTACACACACTCCAATATCTTACTCGGTATTCATACACACAAAGTGTCTGTATTCTCATTATAATAAAATCATTACCAGGCAGTTTGAACACCAAAATACACCAAAAACACAGTGCACGCCCGGCAGCATACAAAAACAATACCACAAAACATCAGCAAAACAAAGAGACTGTACAATAATCAACACACTTCCAAACAGAAAAAAAGAAAAGAAACCAATGCATCACCACAATATTTATACCAACACCACAATTGGAATCTAAAACCCACTCACTCACAACCATAACAAAAATGACTGCATACATCACTGTAATACCATGACACTCTTTACAAACAGAATCAACACACAATTACTCTCTCACACACATATTACCTCTTTATTTATCCTTATTATTATTATTTTATTTTTCCCTCAGAATGCCGATTCACCTCTTCTTCTCCCACAGCATTATCAGCAAAAATAAAAAAATGGCATCCATCCGCACACACATAATTCACTTTATGGTGTGTATTAGGAGTGTACGATCCAACATATCACCCACCCAAAAAGGGACACCACACACCACACCACTACGTTTATTTTTATTTTCTGTTATTCGTCACTTTATGAATGTTACTCCGATGGAACGGGCCATCAAGAATAATACATAAATATACATAAATACAATTTGTTTTTATATTATTTTTTTTACTACCGTTGGGCATGGGAAGTACGCATTGTTAATGAAATTATAATGGATCTCGTAGGTGGCAGAACATGGATTTTTTTTTCGCCTCTCTGAGTCCCCTCAGCGGCCAAATCCAATTACCACCACTAGAGGAGATAGCTGTTATTATCTCTAGGGTCCGTGCTTCTCCCTAGCGGCATTCACACTAAAGTGCAATATGTAAAAGAAACTGTTGCTGATGGTACACTGATTCGCGCCCCAGGACTTTCTTGGATAAAGTTTTGTCCCAGTACGACTCTGCTGGCCCCGGTGCTGTATGAGATTTGTAGCTTATGAACCCGTAAACTCTCAAGAAGAGAATTTGCTGGCCCATGACTTCCCCTCAAAATAATAGGGGATAATGGATATTGGCTCAAACTTTCGATGGCCAAACGCCAACAAGGGAAAGGCCATTCCTAAGAACGCATGTATTGAAAAGAAAAATAAAAAGAATTTGGTTTTTAAGGGGACCACCCACTTCAAACATTTAGTGAGTGCATTTAGTTTCCTTGAATAAATTCATCTACTCCACCTTGGCACCACGTTGGGGAGGCCCTCATTACCAAGGATCTGTTTCTGTACAATTCCTACCCCTCGTAAACACCATGGACGTTATAAATGAAATGAAAAAAAAAATACATAACGTCA